CTCCAGGATTTGCCATGGCTTCACAGCCTACCCTTATTCCCCAGCTAACTCCTAAACTGGATATAGCTCCCATCAAAAGTCAGTGGCAAAAGGGAAAGCTCATTGGGCGTGGGACTTTTGGAAGTGTTTACGTGGCCTCCAACAAGTATGGAAATTCTGAACATTTTTCCAATTCTTTTCTATTTTCTATACATTTGCTAGATTGTTCTTTTTGACAGAAAAACTGGAGCTTTATGTGCAATGAAAGAGGTTGAAATGTTGCCAGATGACCCAAAATCTGCTGAGTGCATAAGGCAGTTAGAGCAGGTAAGTTTCGAGTATGCATTCTGTTGTGCTGTGTTTTACTTTGTTGGTCTTCTGCTTGATTCTTTAGCTTGGTAATTCATATTTGAAAAATACAGAGTGTGCTGCTAAATCCGACTTTTTCTGGCTGCTTCTATTAGCTGATAATGACCATCCTATTGGCCAACACAACATTTCAAGTTGGCAACTTTGAGAATATTTGTGTTCTATCTGACAAAACTTTTAGGAAAAGCATGAAAACTGCATCCCATCCATCATGTCCACAGTGATATTGGCAAGTAAACGACAAGAAAATTATTTGTAGTAGAAAAAAAAGTGTATCAGTTACAGCTATTATTGTAATTAAAGCAGTCACAGCTCCTTGTTTCTTTTCTGGTTAGCCATGCTTCATGAGAATATGCTAATAATTCAATCAGTTGAATGTACAACTTGTTTGTGCACTTTTTTAAGGGCAAATTGTGTTCATCTCTTTTCAAGGCATTTGATTAAACACACTTAACAGATCACTCTTGATTAGGTTTCAAACAATATTTTAGTGTTATATGTGTTCTGATGACATTTGTGGGGAATACTACATTTCCATGTACTTGCATGCCTATTTTCTGAAGCAAAATTAGTTTTTCCCTGCATTTTGCCTTTTGTCTTTGATGGTTTGAAATTAAGTACCAAAATTTTGGCTACAGGTTCCATTTTCTACTTTTCAAGCCACAAAATTGACTGTTTCTTTAAATGTTATATCATTGTCTCAGGAAATTAAGGTTCTCAGTCATCTCAAGCATCCGAACATTGTGCAATATTATGGTAGTGAAGTAGTAAGTATTCCAGTGGGCCATTCATTATGCTCCTCAGTGACCTCTTTACAGGCCTTAAGGCAATTTCTTGATTCTGTAGGTTGGTGATCGGTTTTACATATATTTAGAGTATGTTCATCCTGGTTCAATCAATAAATTCATTCACGACCACTGTGGAGCAATTACGGAATCTGTTGTACGGAACTTTACTCGCCATATTCTTTGTGGGCTAGCTTACTTGCACAGTACGAAAACAATACACAGGTAAATTCAATACTCCAAAGTCTGGTTTCAGGATTTACTAATGCGGCCAAGTGGAGTCTGGCGCGGTAGATTTCCTGCTTCTTTGATTTGCCAATAAATGGATTGTAATAAGGGGAGCCTTTCCACGCCTTGTGCATCTGTTATTAGAGATTGTATGAAGATTTCATGTTATACTCTGCTGTAACCTTTGCCTGTTTTCTATTTCGGGTGATCCCCTTTTGAATTTCTGTCGTAAGACCTACATCTGAGTTTAGAGATTTACTTCACATAAATTTGACCATCACCGGATTTTATAGGGATATCAAAGGGGCAAATTTGCTTGTGGATGCTTATGGGGTTGTGAAGCTTGCTGATTTTGGGATGGCCAAACATGTAGGTGATGATTTCTGTATCTACTACAGTTTGTATCATTTTGAAATGAAAGAAGGGAAATTATTGTTTGTTAAAAAAGGCCTATATATACAAAGAATTTTCTTACTTGTTTTTTTGGAGTTTGCTGTTGATTGAACTCTTCAGTCCTCAACACCCGCCCCTTTTCCCCCTCTCCCTCCCTCTCTCTCTCTCTCTCTCTCTCTTCCTGTTTTGCGGCCAGGCAATGTATTCAGCATTCTCCTTAACTGTTGTATGAACATTGATACTTGTTGCATCATAATATTTTGATACATCATATATTGTTGGGTTATGATTTGGTTAAGGCAACAGCAAGGGTAGCTAGCTAGGAAAGCTTTGCGGTGTTGGAGGTGAGGATTGCCTTAATTCTTTCTACAAAATCGACGTTAAGTTCAGTGTTTGGTGAGGTTGAAGCACATTATTTGATCTTGGGACATTCATAAAATATGGTTATAAATTTTTATGCTCTTTATAAAATATAGTTGAAGCACATTATATCAATTATAAAGAATTTTTATGCTCCTAAAGTAAAAACAAAAAGCTGTTGAGGAATCAAACTTTGTGGAAAAATATCTCAGCTTGAACATATAGCAAGTTGTTATAGAGCCTTTCCTTGCCAATGAAACATCAGTACTGCACTTTTTCAAGGTTGAATTTCATAGTTCCAGGGAACTGTAAGATTAGATCTGAGGTTTTGGTGGTACCAACGGAAGAATTATTGATGTTGTGATCATGTCATCTGATGTCATCTCTTCATATATTGAAAATTCTTTTGTTGCTATTTACTTTGACTTCTTGTTGGCAGGCTATTTCTGATTTTTATCATGATCAAACTTAAAGGTTTCTCTTTCTGCAGCTCAGCGGCCATGCTGCTAATCTTTCTTTAAAAGGTAGCCCATATTGGATGGCCCCAGAGGTATAATCTTCTCCAAGATAATGTTTCTGAAAGCACATTGTCTCGCCTTCTAGATCTGATATTAGTTTATTTCATGCAGCTCTTGCAATCTGTGATGCAACAGGATTCTAATAGCGATCTGGCATTGGCTATAGATATATGGAGTTTGGGTTGTACAATTATTGAAATGTTGAATGGAAAACCTCCATGGAGTGAGTATGAAGGGGTAAGCTCTGATGTTCATTTTTATCATTGAATTTACTTGATATTAGCTGATTAATAAGCTTGCTTTCTGGTGGTAGCTCCCTCAGAATGTTGGAAAATTCGCACATTTTGTTTGCTTTTCTTGATTCACTTCAAGTGCAGAATAACATTTTTGAATATGATCTCTTTGATTAATTTTTTTGGTTGATTAGCTGGAACCATTTCCTTCCACTTCTTCCTTTGTTCTCTTTCATGATTGAATTAAGCACAACTCATTAAATAGAGTTTGTCTTAATTTCTCATGAGATTGTGTCGGTACCTTACACTAGCACCTATAGGTTTTTATGCCATAGTACAGGGCACCTTATGCATGGTACTAACTAGCATAGACAAAAAGAGTTGACTTACTATCGTGTACCAGTGTCAGCATGATCTTCTTGTTGCAATATGTTAAATAAAACTACTAAAATCAAGATTCCAAGTAATTCTGTCCCCGTTTACATTTATATTTTTCTTTTTCTCTAGAGGGATGGAGGGAGGGAAGAAGAAGAAGGATACAATTAATACAACACGTGTACTTATGTTCCATTTCCATCAGAAAATTTTGATTCAAGTTTTAGTCTTTCATTTGAGCTTGTAATCTGCAGGCTGCAGCCATGTTTAGGGTACTCAAAGAGACCCCTCCAATACCTGAAAATCTGTCAGCAGAAGGGAAGGATTTTTTGCGTTGTTGCTTTCGTAGGAATCCTGCAGAAAGGGCTTCAGCTAGCACATTACTGGAACACCGTTTTGTTACAACCTCTCATCCACCAGATATTTTATCCTGCAGTCTGTCTCTTAGTGGGATGAAATTGAGGGTAAACTACTTCAGCACATTGTCCTAATGGATGGCTTCTCCCGGTTTATGGTTTATTATTGTTTATGCTATTATGTGTTGACAGGATGATGCAAATTCCCAAAGAGAGCGCTCAAACAGTAAGCTTGGTCAAGTCCCTGCATACTCAGATATGCATATTGCCAAAGGAAAAGTGACTGACAAGTAAGAGTTACTCTATGCTTTAAAATGTTCATTAATATTTTATATACCATCTTCGCAAGTTTTTACTTTTACAAGCAGGTCTATGTTAATGCCAAATCATCTCTAAAATCTTGTCATTTCACCGCATTCATGTGAACCATCTATTGTAAGTGCTGACTACTGAGTTGACAGTTGAATCAGTGTTAACTTTGAAATGTCCTTGTGCTTCAGCTACATTCATGGTTCTCTTGCCCCAGTGAGATTGGCCAACGACGTCGCTACAAAACTTTAACACTACAGGTGGTAGCCCTGTCATTCACCTCATTCAACATTGGAGGTCCTTCCTAGTCCATCTCCACACTTGGATTCAATTATGTGAAGTTATTCATGAAGAGAGGCTAACAGTGAACCATTACAGAAATGGAAGGCGATCTAACACTTGTTTTAACGTGGTTTTCCATAAAGACCTCAGTTTACAGATGCATTGGAACTTATTGTGCTCTTGTAGGTAGCTTGCAGCCATAGGAATTGCTGTCAGTAGGCTCTTTGCCTCTTTGTTTCTGTTCATACTTTGAGAGATAGAAGCACAATAGTCATAAGAGTTTGCAGGACCTGGGTTTTCAGAAGTAGGAGCTTGTGTCTATTCACAAGGTGTAGGGCTTGAACAATATAGCAGCAACCAAAGCCCAGTTATGATTCTTCAGTCAGAGAATTCAACAACGGGGTTCTTCTCTGATGTGGAACGTTTATTATAAGCATGCCGGGCCAGAGTTGAAAGAATTGTAAATATCATTTTGAATATTTGATCAAGTCACTGTGCTCCTGCTCTTCAGGATTTTTTCTAGCAAGACAAAATTTACTTGTCAACTAATCCACAGATTAAAATGTAGCCAGCATGTTTGAAAGGGGTTGCTGTGTGTGTCCCACTTCCCATCTGTGGCCCTCTCCGTGCGCCTCTGTTGTCGGAAGATACTCTTTGGGAGGAAGAAGATCTGCCATTATAAGATCTGTGGAGAATAATAAGCCTTCTCCTTCTTGGACAGATAATATCACAAATTTGAGCTGTTGCAGCAACAAGTCATGTGCCATTTTTCGTTCCTAACATTTTTGTTACTGAGGTGGAGGATGCTGCAACTTTTTTTTTTTTTTATTATTTATTTTGGGGGTAATTAACTCTTTTTAGTGGTATAGTGAAAACGTACACACTAGTGAGGGGGATCCCTACAGCTAACACAGAAGTATATCAAACATGCAAACCTGCAATAAAAGCCTATAACTGCCGGCGGACTAACACGCCGAGAATCAACAAACGCAAAAAGAACTAGAAACAGGAAATGTGCAGCTTTTTACAAAAGGCATCTTGATATGTATGCCTTGAACACCTTCCAGCCAGACGCCAATTCTTCAAACATCCTTCACAACCTGCTCAATCACAACAATCAAAGAACATACAGTAAAAGCTTTTGACTTGGCCCATTTGAATTGTTATCTTTAGGAACTTCTATGGAAAAAATTTGATGGAGGTGAGATAAAAAGGTAAATAGAACATACATATGTTTGGAGAAAACCTAAAAATTTTCGTGTGTAAGCTCACATTCCAAACAAGTATGGAGCCACTACCGGGTGGAGGAGGGTGCAACCGGAGAAGCCTGTGAAGATTTTTCACAGAGCTTTTGTATGCGCGCCCGCCCAGTAGTTTAGTGGGAGCTAATGTTTTGATGACTGATGCACAAACCACGAAGTCAGCAATCCATCTAAGCATATTTTGGTAATCGTTCTAAGGAGCTAATTGTTAATTTCCCTTAACAATTACATAGGTTTGATCATATTACAAATTAATTCCTATAATTTATTCAAATAACGGTCTCACCCTTTAAATAATCAAACATTTAACAAAAACTCCTTTAATGCCGAAAATACCCTTTTTGAGGCCATGTTGCATTAAAAAAAAAAACATATTTTTATTTTATTAACCCTGAAACAATCCAAAAAAATAGAAAAAAGTTTTTGCTTATTATTTTATAAAAATCATATCTTTACTTTCATAAATAGTTTTGAATCAATAATTATTTTAAATCTTAAAAATGAATATTAAAAATTAGATAAATTGAAAGAAAAATAAAAAAGAAGCAATTATTTTAAATCTTCAAGTATGGTTCGAATTTGTGGTTTAAAACCTGTTGCGGAGAGCACGGGACATGTTTTCCTCAATTTGAACCATACTTCAGGAATTAAAATAATTTCTTCTTTTTTATTTTTCTTCAGGGTTAATAAATAAAAATATGTTCTTTTTTTAATGCAATATGGCCTCAAAAAGGGCATTTTCGGCATTAAGGGGGTTTTTGTTAAATGTTTGATCATTCAAAGGGTGAGACCGTTATTTGGATAAATTATAGGGATTGATTGGTAATATGGTCAAACCTCAGGGGAGGTAAATGTAATTAACCCTTAAAATATTTGTTTGTCCATTAAACTAAAGAAGAGGAAATAGCGCGCGAAGCGAACGTTAGGGACCTTCCTTCCAGGGCAATCCGAGAAACGACATCGTTCCGGGCATGGCGTTTCGTTATCGTGAATTGTGTAAGATTAGGTGGTCCCAGGTCAAAGTAAAGTCCACTCCGTCAAAACTACTACAGTTAACAATGGTAAGAATAAAGAATTAATTCTAATTGAATCATCCGGAAAGGTAAGCGGGAAAGCCATTGATTAGGAATCTAAAAAGTTAGAAAGTCCTCCCCACAAGCCACAACACAGCAACGGTAGTCACTAATGCTACTGGCCCATCATCCATATCCATCCACGCTTCTACGTCTTCACCGACAAAAAAGAGTGCGAGTTTTGAGATGGAACCTCCCCAGGTCCAAGCAATAGACGGCAACTACCCTCCACAGGAAGATGTGCAGGACAAAGTTGTCAATGAATGGTACTTTTACTTCTCCATTCTTGTTAATCCTTTCTAGTTTCTTCTTGAAATTCCGATCAATCCTTTCGAGTAAAATTACAAGATTTAATACTGCTAGTTAGCTGTTGCCATTTTTTTTTTTTTTTTTAAGTTTTTTGGTTCTTTTAATGGGTTTTGTTTGATGCAGTTGTTCTTGCTTCTATGACTGCTCGGATAGCTGTCTCGAGTACTTTTGCTGCTACGACCTCTGTTAGTTTCTAGGATGCCACGGGAGTACGTTTACAGTTTATCGACTTCTTTTGCTTTAGTTATAAGAGCTGTCATTTTTCTTGGTGTTCAACTGAAGGAACAAGTTCATGGTCTTTGCTGAGAAAACTTGTTTTTAAGTGGCATATAAAAATCTCTTCAGATGAGGAAGTAATCGGTTCTTCGTTCTTCAGATCTGTTTAACTTTTTATTTCTCTTTCGTTTTTTATTTGTGGCTGATATGATATATGATCATTTGCGTTGTGGATATTATTGATTGCTCGAATCATGGGATTTATTATTATTTTTTTCTTTGTCTTGATTCTGAAACAAAATAGCATAGAATTCGGCCGACCCATTAGGAGCTTGTCGGAAAAAATTCACTCCGACTTGTGATGGAAAGAAATAAAAGGGAGGAATCCTGCATGCACAAATAAAATAAGAAAAGGATAGATAATAAATCAAGATTTAGATGCTACTACTTCATTCCTTTATAAATGCTTGGTCGACTGTGTATCGCATCGGTAGGGTACTAAGATGGTTTTGATGTAAACTTAATTCTCAATGTTAGTACCACCCGTTGTAAGGTATTAGTACCATTGAACTTCCATGCATGTATCTTTAGATTTGTATAGATGCAAAAAAAAAAGTGAAAGATTGACGACAGCTTCCGAAGGCACCAAGTACCACCCGCATCCATTATTGTCATTTGCGCCTCTTAAATGTGTATGATTCATGCCTCAATTCATGGCCTCGAAAATGGCCGGATATTAGGTATATCAATCTATTTGGATAGCTCAAATTTGCCAAATCACTCGTTTTTCAATCCACTTTTTTATATTCTTAATCATCTTTTTATCTCATCTCATGTACATTATTATATCACAAAAAGTGTCATAATAATTATTTTAAATAATATTTCAAACAATACTTTATCCAAATGGCTGACGAGTAACTACTTAAAACAATGATTTTTATCATTTGTAGAATAGAAAATAGGAATGTGACCGACGTTATAAACTTTAAACTATAAACCACTTTCGGCTGGGAATTTCTTCGCAAATTTATGATTAACTTGTCTTTCGCGAATATTTAAAATCTTGAGGTATGCTACTGGAATCCTGTTACACACACACACACTTACATTTTTTTCTGGGTAAAAATTAAATTTAATTCCATTTTCTTCCCTTAAGAGGTACAAGTGCAAGCCCGTCATTTGTGATATGCTGTTGGAGTAGCGATTTTAGCCCAAACTTCCTATTGGGCCCCCTTTTTTTACCAGTCCGCTGGAGTTACTCCAGCCATCTAAATTCTAATCTGCGAACTGAGAGTAAGGGTTCATTTGGGGGAGTTGCGGATTTGAACAGAAAAGAAAGGGAAAAAAGAGAGAGTTTGATTTTCTTTTGTTTGTGAGTTTTTAGTAAGAGAGACAAGAAAGGAAATGGAAGGATGAATAGTAGGCAAAATTTTTCCTCCCAAATTGGAGAGAAAGTTAGAGGAAGCTTGTGAAAATTTTTTAAAATACCTATTTTATCCTTAAAAATATCTTGAACAAATATTTAATGACTTTTATGTTCAAAATCATTCCACTAATTCTCAAAACTCCTAAATAACATAACAATCTCTTCTCTTCTCTCCTAACTTAAGTTTTCCCTTCTTCTCTTTTCTGTCCTAAACTCCCAAACCAAGCCTAAAAGTTCGATCTATATATATCTCTGTTCGTCAAACTAAATAATAACCCTAATCCGAAATAATGCTCAACCACTGAAAATCACGTGCTTAATGAATCAAGAGTGGATGTTGAGGCTATTTTGAACATAGCACAACTGACTTTTCAAAAACCACTCTTGAAATTAGTGGCCATGCAAGCAAAACTTGATAAGAGACATGTAACATGACTCGAGATATAAGAGTGCAGTATAAACTACTGGAGTACTTTTTTCTGTGTCTCATTTGGAACAAAACACGATACCAACAAATTATCAACATTTTTCGTGGCCACTCTACATATCCCGGCCGTCATGGTCACTTTTAAATTAATCAAAGTGGTCACAATAGCAAGAAACTGAACCACATCCAATGTCCCTCGATGCGATGGTGCGTCTGCATTAATAAAAATCTCCCAGTTGACCTGAATATTTGCACAATTCCAACATAGTCGCATATGATTATTGGCCTGTTCTCTTTGCACATCAGCGAGATCTTTCATCTCATTCGCTGATCGTTTTGGTTTTGAGCAGAAGATATATTGATGCAACTAGATTCTTAACAGGTAAGTTGCAAATTGCAGCGCTTCTAGATTCTGAACAGATAAGTCACTACCATAGTAGTAACAAATGTGGAGGGAAATGATTCAGTCAGGAAAAAGCAGCATTTCAGCACTGCACAGGCCACAGGTTGACGAGCTGCTCTTACCTGCGTAGATTAAGTCTTCGTCGTCTCGTCATCCAGTCTACTTAGCTAGTGCAAAAAAAAAAGTAGTCCTTTTAATGATGAAAAGAGCTCGGTCGGTACAGCTCTCTCAGCGCAATAATTGGGGAGACAAATGCAGAGCACCAGCATCCCAGTTTTTCCCCGTAGAAAAACTTTTTTATGTCCGACTGAATCTTGAGGTTTGATTTATGTAGGAAGATAGTCTATTATTGATGACTCGGTGTATTGTGGAGAAATATATGCCTCATCCCAGCACTCAGGATTTGTATACTTAAAACACCTTGAGGTGGTGCACTGCTGACTGTTATCTTCACTCCCATGAGAGAAGTTGTGGCGTTCCGCCCAACTGGGTTGAAAAACTGGAACTTGAAAGTGACATCTTACTTCTTAGTGACCTTGCCACTATCCGCTCTCAATTCTTTGTGAGGGAGCATGCATATTACAACGAGCTGCTCCCTTCCGTTATAAATTGGACAGATTTTCCTTTTCATCTGCACAGCCAATTAACTTTCGAATCCGAGTTTTATTGCGCTTGTGCCACCGAAATATGAGTCCTAGTAGAATAGTTGCCTATAGACCCTCAACTTTTGCTTGGTTCTGCATCTTTTTTCTGTGTTGTTCTGTTCATGGTCAACTTGATTACAAGTTTTACGATGATGCTTGTCCCAACTTAACCAGGATCGTTCGCTATGGTGTCTGGTCTGCCATCTACAACGAAACTCGAATGGCTGCCTCTATTCTACGCCTGCACTTTCATGACTGTTTTGTTAATGTGATCACACTTCTTATCTCGTATACTTTCCTCACGTTCGTGCACATTGAACACCACTAACTACAAAACATAAGGGAAAAACAAATCACTGAAGCGAATTTCCATCCGCATCAAGACGCCAAAAATTTCAACTAAAGAAGGAACTGAGCATACAGCAAAATTTTTCATTCTTGTGTGACGAAAGAAGAAATTAATGTTGTCTTGAACGAGTTACATAATATGTCAGGATCAACTGATGCTATTACTAATTACTATCCGCATTAATGGTACTTTAAGAATAATCTTGAATTCACAGTAAAGAACTTTGCCTGCACAAGTCTCTAGAGCTTGATGGTTAATTCAGATTACGTTTGGTGGTAAAGGGGTGCGAGGGATCTGTGTTACTGGACGATAGCAGCACAATAAAGGGGGAGAAGAATGCAGTTCCTAATAAGAATTCAGCTAGAGGATTTGAAGTCATTGATGCAATAAAGGCTAATGTGGAGAAAGCCTGTCCATCCACTGTTTCTTGCGCTGATATATTGGCACTTGCTGCTCGAGAAGCCGTCTACCTTGTAAGGAACTTCTCCTTGTTCTGAGTTCCACTTCCATTTGCATTTCTTTGATCAATGTTCTTCTCCTAATAAATTTACCCAAGCACATAACACCAATTTTCTCAGGCAGGAGGGCCGTATTGGCCGGTGCTTCTGGGCCGCCGAGACGGCCTTACTGCCAGTGAAGGCGCGGCCAACACACAGCTACCCTCACCTTTCGAGTCCCTGGCTAACATCACCGCAAAGTTTACTGACAAGGGACTCGATATGAAAGACGTGGTCGTGCTTTCAGGTACTCTCTTTTTTTTTTTTTTTCCTTGGGGGGAATCATCAAGTTCAATTGTCCTGACATGATACCTCCTTTCATAATACCTTAATGCAAAAAAGCTTAATCCTTTAATTCTTCGAAATTTGCAATTTCAACCTGCAGGTGGACACACCATTGGGTTCGCTCAATGTTTCACCTTCAAGCCGAGGCTATTTAATTTTGATGGGGCGGGAAATCCTGATCCAACTCTAGACGCAACGCTTCTAACCAGTTTGCGTGGCTTGTGTCCAAATGAAGCCAGCTCCGATTCCAATCTGGCTCCACTGGACGCAGCCAGCGTGAGCAAGTTCGACAACTCCTATTACAAGAATCTCGTGAACAACTCTGGGCTTCTTGGGTCTGACCAAGTTCTTATGAGCGACAACACTACAGCTGCAATGGTCTCCTACTACAGCAAGTTCCCTTTCCTCTTCTCCAAGGACTTTGGGGTGTCAATGGTAAAGATGGGCAATATTGGTGTGCTGACGGGGCAGGATGGACAAATAAGGAAGAATTGTAGAGTTGTGAACTAGAAAAATGTCGTTCAATTCCTGTAAATCATCAATGGTTGTCAATTATGTTTTCATGGTGCTTTTTTTTTTTTTTTTTTTGGAATTAATGCCTCTTTTGTTATAAATCCCCCAAAGTTGCATTTTCCAGATGCATTAGTAAATTATCCATTTTCCATAGAACACATGCTTTGTTTACGTGTCAGTTGAGTTTGAGATTGAAACCATACTAGAGATGTAATCGAGTCGAATCGAATTCGAATATCACCGTACTAAAGCTATACTCGAATTCGACTCGTTATGCAAGAAGAATGTTCGAGCGAATAGTATTATTGAAACTCGAGTTCGAGTTCGAGTTCGATGATTGCTTTCAGAACTGGAACTTGACTCGCATTGGCTCGAGTCAATGTGAGCCTTATTGAGTTTGAGTCAAAAATTTTTATTTTTAATAATTTTTTAGCGAAAAGACCAATAGTTGTTCGCTCTCGCCGTGTTCTCATTTTGCACAAAAAGTAGTAGTAGTAGTAGTACTACCATTTAAGCCCCGAAACCATAGGCCTTGCTTGTATCCATATCAACGTCCCAGCAGGAATAGTAGTCCACGCGCCATAGCCATAGGCAGTGCTATAAAGGCAGCAGTCCTACTTTTTCCAGTAGTCAAATGACAAGTCCGCTGCAGGAGACAGACAAAAGCCCGCTGTATGGTTGGAGGTCTCCTGTACGGTGTCCGGGCTTAAGGCTGAAATCCTGTAAGCTCAATTCTTATCCTATTCCTACGGACCAGTCTATTACCAGTTCCACGCCACCACCAGGACCCGGCTTGGTTGGTTTTTCTTGAGACAGCGGTCGTGATAATTTATGCACGAGCCAATTATGGCGAGGAAGTGATAAAGAAAAGAAATGCACTTTGACAGGGAATTTTCTTCTTCTTCACATGACCTCTAGCTGGTTATGATAATACAAGTTATGCATAGGGATGGCAACGGGGTGGGGGACCCCTCCCCCACCCCACTACCTACAAAGTCCCTCCGCCCCCGCCCCGCCCCGCCCCGCCCCCCGTCTCCCACTTCCCCCGTCCCGTCCCGCTTTACCTGCGGGCCACCCGTGAGATTAATAAAATTTTTTCTGCTGAATTAATAAAATTTTATTATAATTAAATTTTAATAAATAATCAAGTATTAAAATATCAACACATCATTAAGTTATTATTCATTTTAATTTTATAATTAAAACTCATAAAAACAATCAAACAAAAATTATTTGAACACAATCCAACATGATGAAATAAATACAACTAAAATAGTTAAGTTTTCACTTTTGGTACAAATACAATCACTAATTCATTATTGTGTTTGTGCTTTTTTTTTAGAAAAAAATGTTATTCTATTAAGTGTAATTAGAAATCTAGTATAAATGTATTAGTAAATTTAGTATAACTAATTAATAAATTCTATTAGTAGACATGTCTAATTATTCGTATAATTGATAATATTAATTATATTACATACACTAATATATATTATATAATACATCTAACTAATAATATCATTATCATAAGTTTATAACTAATTAAATTACATATTATATATATATAATTTTTTTGGCGGGTGGCGGGGCGGGGGAGTATACCTACTCCCCCGCCCCGTTTCTAAACGGGGGGAAAAAATTCCCCCCCGTCCCAGCCCCATTCCCCGCCCCGAGAGCCCCCGCGGGGCAGTTGCCCACGGGTACCCGTCCCCATTGCCATATCTAGTTATGCATTTTGATAGCTGATGATTCACAGTGTATAAATTATTATTATTCAATATATAATAATTTATCTGAATTTAAATTTAAAACTTAATTTTTGTTCTTTTTTTTTCCGGCAACAATAGATATTGTATAACCTACTCTAACCTAGTTTAAGGGAGATAGATGTTGTATAACCTACTCTAGTCTAGTTTAAGAAAAGGGACAAGGGATGGTCAACTAAAACCAGCCACATATTGTGGCCAAATTGTGGGAGACAGGGGTTGATCCCCTGACCTCCAGCATCACCATTATGGTGATGACCACCGGACCAAATGGCCAGTGGCCAAAACTTAAATTTTGTTCGTATATTATTTATCCAACTGTAATTATGATATACCCACTAATCATCAATATGTATATAAGATTCACTTCTCGAATTCACCATAATTGATGTGATGCAATGTAAAATCAATCCAATCTGACCACAGGATTTGTCGGAGGCAATAGACTAGTCGTTGCAGCACCATAAATTCCCATGGGCCAGTAGCAGACCAGGCCCCAGAGCAAGATCAGTCGTCGATTTGGTGGCGTCCTTCGCGTCCCAAATCCCGCCCATTGTTGGTCCACATAACATAACCTGCTAAAGACGAATGTTGCCTACTGGAAAATTTAAACGGTTTCTTCGCTGCACGACTCGTACACTCCTCAAAAGTGGCCCCACCAAATCCCAGCTCCGCGACAAAAAAAAAAAAGGGGGAAAAACAAAAAGACAGTTCTACTTCTGCTGATACTCTACCGCTTCTTCTAGTACACTACTACCACCACCACCGCCACTGGGTAGCAGCAGAGCAGAGAAGCAAAAGAAAAGCTAAAGGCGTGGCGAACAAGTTTTTTCCCGGTTAGAGAGAGATGGGGAATCCGAGATGTTACTTGGACATAAGCATTGGGGGAGAGTTGGAAGGAAGGATAGTGGTGGAGCTTTACAGTGACGTTGTCCCTAAAACTGCCGAGAATTTTAGGGCTCTGTGCACTGGCGAGAAAGGCATCGGTCCTCATACCGGCGTTCCCCTCCATTTCAAGGTTTCTCTTTTCCTTGTCCTAGTGATTATCTCAACTCTAATGCTACAGTTTTCTTTTCAACATATTCATTACATATGCCAACTTTCTGCAATGTTTTTTGTATAGGTTTTTGTGTTGTATCAGAATTTGCTTTTCATTTTTTTCCCCTTTGTGAAACACTAAAATTATTTTTATATTTATTATGACATAATTTCTCGAGTTGCTTGCTTCCGTTTTAATACCGAAGTAGAAATTTCAATTTCGTTACGAGCTTTTTTACAGTTTCGGTGGTGTCATATGAAGTTACAAGCTTGCATTTTTTTGTTTTTAGAACCTGTGCAGTTCGCGTGTTTGTGATGTAAATGTTGTTTCGAGTGGACGGCTTTGCATTCTACTGTTTCACATTGTGATTATCTGCATATTTTATTAACCAAAAAGTTAGTACAGAAAGATAGCATCGCCGAAAATATAAAAATCGGTAAATCAAGTCTAAAAGGCTTAAGTTATAGTGAGGAACTCCCACCTTTAGGCTCCGTCTAAGTAGCAGAGAATGTCTGCAAACAGGTAAGTAATTCTCTGACAAAGTGAAGTCACTGGGCAAAAAAAATTAAAATTATGTCGTTTCTGAATGTTTGTCTAACTGGAAAAAATTATTTAAAAGAAAGGTGTGGTTTCATGGATGCAGGGCTCTTGTTTCCATCGTGTTATTAGAGGTTTCATGATACAAGGTGGTGACATTTCTGCTGGAAATGGAACTGGTGGTGAATCCATCTACGGCTTGAAATTTGAAGATGAAAATTTTAAACTCAAGCACGAAAGGAAAGGGATGCTATCCATGGCTAATTCTGGTCCCGATACTAATGGTTCTCAATTTTTCATCACTACAACTCAAACCTCTCATCTGGATGGAAAGCATGTTGTGTTCGGGAGAGTAATCAAGGGATTGGGCGTGATTCGTTCAATTGAGCATGTCACCACGACGGAGGCTTATTATCCGACTCTTGATGTCATGATAGCTGATTGTGGCGAAATTCCTGAAGGTGCAGATGATGGGACATCTAATTTCTTCAAAGATGGTGACTGTTATCCTGATTGGCCAGCTGATCTAAGCATGAAACCAGATGACATTTCTTGGTGGATGACCGCTGTAGACTCTGTAAAAGCTTTTGGAAATGAAAGATTTAAGGTACACGTCTAGTTAAGAGCCTATTCATCATATAATAGCTGTGTAAATTTAAACATGCTGGTCTTTCAGTATTTGCTTTAGGTGTTAGCTTTGTGAAACAAGAAAGTACAATAACATTCCCATTTACTTGACAGCTTTTTGTGTAATTTCTCCAAATAGGCCACATTATCCTTCACCTGTGCCACCAAATTAGATCATCAGCCTGTATTTTATATTTGTTTAAGCCTTCTTTATTTTGCATATTACTGGATGGCCTAACTACTCTGATACAGAAGCAAGACTTCAAAATGGCTCACAGAAAGTACTGTAAGGCTCTTCGCTATTTGAATACATGCTGGGAAATGGATGATGTTGATGAAGGTTAGTTACTTCATTCTCTGCCCAATGACAGTTAAGACTTTTGACAAGCAGAAACTAGGAATCACCAGATGATTTTGTCCTTCTAACTTTTGTAACTGTGTGATTGGACAGAGAAAAGTGATTCCCTGAAGAAGACCAAGTCTCAGATATTTACTAATTGTTCTGTAAGTTATTTTACCGTGATGTCTGAATTGTAATTGCTCCAAGTTAACCGACAATGTATCAAATTTTCAAGATGATTGTACACCTTGAAGATCTTCATACAATATTATTCAAAATTACTATCCACATATTCAAATTTGGCTGGTAGCATCTTTTGAATTGTTCAACCATAACGTACATTTGTACTGAGCTAGTACTTTGAAAATTGGGATACTTTGCTTTGCTTTCTAACGAAAATACAGAATTCTGACTAAATTTTTGTCTTTACTGCAACCTTAGTTCAGTTCTCTACATGCGATTTAAATGCTCTCTTTTGTTGTCCTGGTTGAACGATTAATTTATGCTATCCAAGTTACATCAACTATTCAAAATGTCTCACCAGTGCAGAGCTATTTTTCTTCCTTTCTTCTTTTTCCTTTTGTGCAGCAGTTTTTTACTGATTTCAACATTGCAACATTTGTATCACAAGCAACATGGTTGATTAAGATTTTCTTATGGTGTACCATCTGTCAGCATAATTTGATGATACTGAAAGTATCTCATGTGTTGAGAATGTCTCCAACATCTTTTTTTCTAACTAGTTTGTGCAACAGCACATTCTTATTCAAATGCTGAACTTCTAACCAAGGAGCATACTCTACTTTACTTGTGTATAAAACTCCACTATTCTCATATATTTGCTCAATGGCTGTCTTTTCAGAATTTGATCTAAACCTATAGATACAAATAGCAGAATTCTTGTTAAATAAACAATAGAAATTTTCAACTGCTGCTATGTGGTTTTAAACTTTTATACGTCAGACTCTAATTGCTATATACATACACATACACACAGAGGAACACACACACGTGTGTGCGTGCGTGTACTTTGTCCACACTTTTTATTTTCCTAAATATTTATTGTATCCTAGTTGCATATGAACACTGCCACTTGCATCAGTTGCATATAAATTAAATGCATGTGAAGCATTTACCCACTCCGTTTTTTGTATTGGAAAGCATCTTGAGAAATAACAAAGTCAGTGTTCTATCTTGTTCTGCCAATGTCTTTACTTTTCCTCTCCAGGCCTGCAAGTTGAGGTTAGGAGATCTTAAAGGAGCATTGCTAGATGCAGACTTTGCCATTCGTGATGCGGATGACAATGTAAAAGCTTTCTATCGCCAAGGTCAGGTCAGTGGTTTTAGTAGCTCTAATTAAAATAGGCTAAAACTAACCATTTTGTCTTTGTAACTTTCTCAACTTGTACTCTCATCCATTTAATTGCAATGTTTTGCCGCTTATTTGCAGTATTTGCTTGCTGTGCTTTCACCATTTAGGTTGCTTGCCATACTATAAAGAACTTGGCATTCTTTCTTGCTGGTGATTATAATGTAGTTTGAGCAATATTTTCTCTTTTGTAAAGATTAGACAGATTTGAACAGGATAAGTATTTACCTGTTGTTGAGACTTGAGATAAACCAGTATTCAATTAAAATAATGAAAATTTCCGCCCCCCTCCCCCTCCCCCCCCCTCCCCTCAAAAAAAAAAAGCACAGGAATGTATGAGAGAACTTTAAAGAATGAGTGGTCAAATTTTATTCATAACTATTTGCTGCTTGTGTGCATTCTCACTTGTGTTTTATATGTATATCCTTATCTGCGTCATCTATATGCCATGTTTTAGCATGTATGGCTTGCACTATTTCTTTTGTAGATTGATCTACTTCAGCTGGGTAGACATTTGCACTTGATCAACTGTTTTGAAGGCCTTTAATCTGTCCTCACTAAATTCTCAGGCATACATGGCACTCAACGACATCGATGCAGCAGTTGAAAGTTTCAAGAAGGCACTGGATTTGGAGCCAAATGATGGTAAATAGCATACACTATAGATGTTCATGAAATGGAAGACCAAATTTTGGATAACTGTATTGAGTTTTGACGCACTAATTGAAATATTTCAGTCCTGCGTAGATTTATTCCAGACATATGACTAGATGGATAGTTAGACATTAAACTTCTTTTTTTTTTTTCAACTTGCAAATCTCCACTGTTGGAAAATAGTTGATATTATCTGGCTTTAGCAGAAAAAAATTTGTTTAGAATGTAATAATATCCATAGATTTTGTGAAGGTTTGTATTTCGGGTCAACAGCAATTAGATGACTAATCTGAAAGAGCAGGGTTAAATTTATGCTTAGAGGTAGTACGTTAAAATATCTACCGTCTCCTATAAATGATCAATAATTGCATTACACATACTGTTTTCAGGTGGAATAAAGAAGGAGCTTGCAGCAGCAAGGAAAAAGGCCAGTGAATTTGAATCTTGATATCAACAGCTTCATGCTAGACATTGTCTTTCTTGTCAAAATATCCAAATACAAAAATGTAATCCGACTCCCAAAAGGGCTTCTCAAATTGCAGGTTGCTGATAGACGTGACAGGGAGAAAAAGACTTACTCAAGAATGTTCCAGATGAGCTAAATGCAGATGAATGGTAATTTGAATTGATTTCTTGGATACTCTTCTTGACATGGATAGATGGAGATTTTGAATTACAAATTCATTTGCAGGCAGTATTCAACAGTTGTCAGGTCTTCTGTACATGCTAGGATACATTGATTAACAACTGAAATCAGGTACTTTCACCTGTAGTTACTTTTGTCAACGTGAAGATCGTTATTTGTTTCTTTCAGAAGATGACTTTTTGTGCTCTGGCCTCTACTTTTCTCCCTCTGACATTGCTGCTGGACATACTGAATTGCACAAGATATGAAATTTAGTACATTTGTTTCTGCTCTCAATAGTAACATGGCAAATCATTTTCTTTCTTCTATACAGGCAGTCTTTTTGTGGAGTTCGAGTTATTTTGAACACAAACATGAAATTTCAAACACCAAATAGGGATAATTATACAGACTTGAACTCAAAGCGATGTTATGTGTCAAGTAGATCGCAAGTACATGTATGCATCTGACATCATCTGAAGTATGTTTTGATCTTGACTACCAAAGCTCTTATTCCGCAAAATGTGGATAATTTCTTTTTCTTGGACAGATAGCTGTTTTTACTTCTTGATATTTTAAAGCTCTGTTGTGGTTGCCTCTGGCTAGATTTGGCCTGTAAGTTGACCTGAACTTTTGGGAGACTGTTTTGTCCATTTCTGGAGTGGAATCTTGCCTTGAGATTTTGCTCTTGTTCTTCCCCTTCTGCTGCAGTATGTTGATTAATGACCCCATGAGCAGGATGTTTCCTTTTGCTTGATCCATTCTTTGAACACAAGTTCTGCAATCTTCTGGCAGCTGTCTCTTGACTTTCCTCGGCTGCCTGTTTTTGTTCCATAGAGACTGCAATTCGCCATTCTGCCAGCGAAGTTTCGTCTCTAACTCGTTTTGTTAACGCATGGTACTCTTCTTGAGTAAGCTTGACCACAGTGTCATCTGTCTGGAAAAGGCTGATGTAGCGTTGTGCTTCATGAGCTGATGCAGCATAAGCTTCTGATTCAAATCGTATTGCTCTAAGGGTGAGTTGCAAAGTGCGAAGAGTCTGCCTCCTTAGACGTAGAACTTGTTTCAGTTTCAATCTTGTTCTGTGTTTTTCGTCTCTTTCCATCTTGAGCTCCTCCATCTCTTCCTGCGTCTGTTGCAAGACCTGATTTATCCTGTTGATCATTGTTCGGATCTTCAGTTCTTCCTCCTTCTTAGCCCTGATAGAGATACTCAACCTTTCAAGCTGAGACTCGAGCTCTGAAATAGCAACGTTGGATGGGGATGTTCGGCTCTTTGCATCTGCAAGTTCTGACTGTAGCTTTTCAAGCTCATCAATCACAGGTCTGGAATCTAACCAGGATTGTACCGCCTCATCCTTAGCCTTCGTGAGTTTCTCCTTCAGTTTTTGTAGTTCTGCCATCTTGGCACCCATTAAGGTCCCAATAGTTTCTCCTGGTTTTCCTTCCTTCACTTCAGACTGATCCTCCATTTCGCCATAGGAGTCCATTTAGCTTTTGCGCTTATGAAGAAAGGTACTCATGTTGAATTGAGCTGAGTTCGTTTCCAATGCGTGGACGTAGAGCAACCTTGTTTATTGGTTTTTCCTTTCTGTTTGGTTCCCTGCGAGATTGGACTACGATGAATTGACAGGTTCCATAAATATTCGATGAACAATACTCGACATGAGCTTCTGAGGATCTTAGGATTTGTTTTCCTTAAGCGGGTTTGGAGCTTTGGGGATATCGCCTTGTTTTGTAGGTTTTGGGATCGGACGCTAGCCGTTAGAATTTTGGTTCAACATTTACGTAGGACAAGATGCCAGTCAGTCGGCCGGGGCAGCATCATCTGTCTTATGCTTTCTTTAATTTCCCCGAATCAGCTATTACCTAATGAATTGGTTTGGCTAGCTCGAACCCCCTTTTAGCCATTCGTCTAAAGACGTTGGTTACTGATACTAAGCAGATTAAACAATTGACAACAATAAGCGTCTTGCGATTTTATTTGCTTTTTAAGGGCAGAAACAACAAATGTTTTCTGGCTGGGGACTGGAGATGTGGTGCGGTGGGGTTTAGGGGGACGGGGAACATGCAGCCTGGCGCTGATGTCGCCAAGGCCTGTTTGATAAGTTAATTTAACATTTAAATTTAATAAATTTAGATTTTAATATATTTAAATTGTTCGATAATTAAAAATTGAGTATCTGAATTAATTAATTGGCATTGAATTTTTTAGGTAAAACTTGCTCTCAAAATTAAGTGTTAAATTATTCACTTTTCACTGAATGTGATATGTATTCAATTATGTTAAATTTAATACTTAACAATTCAATAATTTAATAAATTTAAATTTTATATTTTATATTTTAATTTTATCAAACGCACCTTTACTATGCATTTACCTTTGCGTGTCTTTTGAAAATGAGATTGGCCTGCGACAGAGATGTGCCACTAGGCCCACCACTCACCCTGGGCCTGGGAGTGGGTTGACACTGTACAAAATCTGTTTGGTAACTCAACTCGATTTTTCCATAGCGTTCCTCACAAAATCAAAAGTTTTATAGGGTAAGAACGCCAGCCCAGCCAAGTAACATTTGATCGAGTACTTACTCTTGATCTGACTCAAACTCTCCACCATCTTTTTCCTGCTAAACTTTTTTGTTTTATTCCATTAATCGGTAAGTTTTATATTACATGGCATTAGTTACTAGATATTTCCAAAACATATTCACGTATCTTAGCTCATAATTTTTTTTGGTAATGATGTTTTGTTCTAAGCCCGATGCTAGCGAACTCTCCTACTTTTGAGCAAATTGATATTGATACCTGCGTCAATTATGAGTTTGGTTTTTTTTTTTTTTTTGGTTGGTAATACACTGAAACTCATTGTGGGAAAATTCAGTGAAAAATAAATTTTGACATGCGTAAGAATCGAGCAATTAATGATCTCTCAACCATCTGAGAGAGAAATGAATGCTTGGAATTTTTTAGCCCGGCGAGAAAAGGATATTAATCCTTTGGATGCTAGTAAAATGCCTACAAAACAAAACCAAAAAAAATGCTAATAAAACATTCTAAGACGAGAATCGTCAGTTGGCTAGTCGGAGCTTCCTTTCATCCGAAAGCAGCTTGGCAAATTGTGTAAGAGCTTCTTCGTTGGTGCCCTCTCCTTGAACAGCCTCAGATCTTCCGGTCTCCAAATTCACCCTCGACACTGGCTTCTTCAGCAGGCTGTTGCCAATCTGGACTAGAGTCTCCATATTTTCCGTGGTTGCGACATCAACTGATGATGCATCCCCAGTCAATCCCTCTTCCTGTTATTCAAAGACCAAGTGGCCTCAATTAGCATGCACTCGTGTTGTGGTTTGATGCTAACATTCATTAAAATATGGTCACGGGTATATGGAAACTTATTATTATTAATTAGCACGGCACTTGTTATTTTGGCTTTGTGTTTGTTTGGTTACCTGGATGCGAAGGTAATTTTTCTCACTGCCAAGTGATTGGAAGAGGGTTGAAACGTGTATATCAACCATATCAGATGTTGCAGCACCAAAAACATCCAGCAGCGGCGTGGCACCATTGCTGTATACCCATCCCAGCAACCCCCACTGGTTAGCCGCTGCGGCAGTGTATTTTTCCTCGTTTTTGGCCATTCCTGTGCCTAGCGACAACACCAGCATTCTATTGCTCTCCATGGGCTTCAAATCCGTCAATTGAAATTGGCCCGTCAAAATTTGTTTGGAAATATGGGTTATGGCCATCAGAGTCTATGGAGAATTATATTATTTCAAAGGAAAAAAAATATAAATAAATCAGCTCCTTTTAGACAGCTTTATAAGTACCAGAAAGCAAGTCTCTTCTATAAGCAGCTAAATTAAGGAGAGGGAAGATGTGCAACACATGGTGATAGAGATACTGACTGGATTATTAGCAGCAACTCCTCCATCAATGAGATCAAAGCTGCGTGTGTTCCCTTGTGCGTCCTTGGTCTCGAAGTAGTACGGTGGAAGATAGGTGGGTGCTGCGGAAGTGCTGATGCAGACATCTGATAGCAGAGCATTCTTAGAAGCATTTGCTTTGGCCTGCTTAAAAGTATATTCAGGCACGTTAGTGTGATCTAGCATCCATCAGTAAAGTCTTTTATAGCACTACTAGTTTACAGGGACCATACGTCAATTGTGGAGAAGATAATCGGTTGAAGGCGCTTGATATCGAAAGTGGGTATGACCACGTCTGTTAACGTGTTTTCCATGGTGAGATTGCCCAATAGTCTCTTTATCAACGAGTGCAAGTACTTGCCATCGTACTTTGGTCCTCCCAACAAATTTGTAAGCGATTTTACCACGTCCTTGCGGCTTGATTGATTACACAAACGTTCAACAATAAAATAGAGGCAGAAATTTTTTTTTTTTCTTTTGAAAGGAATCTGAATTTCGAGGAACTAAAAAGTTTTGGTCTTACTAAGTTTTTGGTTATCTTGTATACCTGCTCTCGGGAAAGATCTGGGGGGAGTTTTGCAAGTAGAAGCTGGTTATGTCTTTGGCAGCGTAAAGAGGGCGGCTGTCCTTATTTGGGGCAGTGAGCATGGTGGTGACAAGCCCACCTGTGCTAGTCCCTGCAACTACATCAAAGTAATCTGCGATTCTTGCATTCGGTCCATCGAGTTCCTACCAAACAGTCAAGTATGACGTACTTTTAAGTACTACTACAAACTTAGATTGGTTGTAAATGGGGTTTTATGTTGTATACTTAAAAATTCAAAACATGATTATCTGAAATACCTGAAGTTTGGCTTCCAGGAAAGCAAGAATGGTGCCGGGAATGATGCCTCTGATACCCCCTCCGTCTATGCTTAGAACTGTAGCCAACCTTCCTTTAGTTATAGCATCTGTCAAAGGAGGTTGTAGGAGGTTGAAGGTTGTTAATAAGGCAAGTGTTAGGATTAGCTGATTCATCTTCATGCTTTGGGCCAAATTCCGACAGGATCTATATATATACACAGATATAATCTAGTACTTCCCTTTTCTTCCTTTTTTTCGGCGAGGAACTGGATTTTATATTCTCAAATCTAAAATATGCATCAGGGGGAATCAAGAAACTGGCAAGTATTTTGCAGAGAAGGATCTATATGTACTTGAGATTTCTACGAGTATGATCTCAGTTCTGGTTTGCAGCCATGGGTAGACTTTTCCATCATCAACGTCCCATCTGTTTACGGAAAAAGAATAGTCCCATTTCCTCCTAAATGGGATTGGCAGTGAAAGTTTCTTCACGTGTCAACTTCTTATCTTTCGTCGCCTGACTAGCTATTTTCGATCCGGTACCATACTACATTTATGGTACACCATATATGAAAGCTGACAAAGCAATTGTCTTCCTTTTTTTTTTTTTTCAAACCGTAGGATTTCATAATAGTTTGTTGATTTTTCTTGCAGTCATCAATTATTGAATAAGTACTATTCTTTTGGGCTGCGGAGCAAATTAAGCTGCGTACTCTTTATTGTAAAAGCACTTACGTATTAGACCTGTAAGAAAAATCTGGATGATTTTTCGTTTCTTCATACCATACCGTTGCTAAATGAGCTCAGACTTTGACAAAAAAAGGGGGGACTGAAGCTTACCACGGAGAAGCCAGTTAATTCTCTTTTAAATGTCGAAAAAGCAAAAAATAAAAGAGTTTCAGGAGAATGACGAACATAATAAAGTGAGGATTTAGGAAGTTGATATGTTCTAATCCCCGCAACAATCTCAATAATGTGACCCAATTATTTGACTGATCATGACAAGTATATTACGTGGATTGTAATTACATGAAATGAGACGTAAAATAGTACAGTTTCTCCCTTCTTGATTTTTCTATTCCCTGGATTATTTATTGCCCTTAGCAAAGGATTAGGGCGTAGAAAACCCAGTCACAATAAAATGCTTCCTTTGAACTTCACAATCATACGTCTCTCAATAGCAATAACAGCATCGCTTTTTGATCTAAAGGTCTTCCCAACGCGTTTTTCTGCTCGACTATCTCTCTCTCTTTAGTCTTTTCTCGGCGAGTTACTTACGAACCGGAGTTTCCTGAATTCAAAAGCGTCCTTTTGATCGTCGTCAACAAAGCATCTTGTTCAAGGGCTGAGCTGACCCGACCAAGAAGTGTTCTTCCTTTGCAACTTCCGACCGAATGGCATCGGTTTTTTCTTGATTGTGAGAGGTACATAAATATTCCTGACCAACATGTGATAACCACTTAAAATTGTGAGTGGGAAGCATGGATGAATCATTCGCTGTAAAGTGTAAAAGCCCCGCATGCATTGTGGGCGAATCATCTTTATCTTTGCCTTCTTTGTCCACACCTAACGAAAAAATGTTTGAGAATGAGAAAACCCAATAAGTTCTTCTTTGCTAAAATGTTTGGGTTGGAACGATGAACGATAGACATGTCGAATTCAGTTGTGTGTAATAGAAACAAAATGGATTGATTCACTGAACTCAAACT